TGGGGTGAGATAATATCTCATAGTTGTTTTAATTTGCATCTCTCTTAGGGCTAGGGATTTTGAGCATTTCTTCATGTGCTTGTTAGCCATCTGAATTTCGTCTTCGGTGAAGTGCAAAAGTTTCTGTTTTCAATCTGAGAAAAAAAAAAACCAATGTCCAAAATGTATTAGCCAATTTAAATGTATAAGATTTCAATAATATAGAGAAATATGCTTTTAAAAATACAACTACATATGTGTGTTTCTATACACACATGTGCATTTTCATAATAAATATACAATATTTCAATAATATAGAAATACGCTTTTAAAAATACACCTACATATGTGGTATATACATACATGTGCATTTTCATAATATGTATATTTTTAATATGTGTTTAATTATTTTACATACTTGGCATATTCTCAGGAAATGCCAGTCTTTGGAAAAAGAGATCATGCTGGGGAAGGTAGAAGAGAAGAATACTGTCAACAGGGTGGATTGATGTAGTGACTCTAACAATGGACTCGAGCCTGACAGATGTCATGAGAATGGTGCGGGATGTATTGAGATGTAGTCCTCAGGATTGCTGTTAAGGATTGTAATTGACACAATGACTCAGTGACACATAGCAATAATATGCATTTTATATTTTAATGGCCTTATGTATAGAGTTGTGCTGCTTACCTACATGCTGAGCCTCTCTGGTCATTCAAATCTGCCAGAGGCTCTTAAGGAGAAAGATGGGCAGTCTCTTCCCATGCAATTTTAAGCCTCAGAAACCCCTTTGGAGAGTCAAATATGAGCCAGCTCTGAGTTGACAGTAATGAATTTTAGAGAAATGCATTTACACAGAATAGTTTTAATTTAAGAGTGCTTTCTAATCACATTTCAAAAAAGAACATGGGTCAGTTTATTTACATGCTCTTGATCTCACTGGCCTTATTATCAGAGTTAGCTTTTTAGTCACCTTCGAAGGCCAGGCTCATATCAGTTTTACTTTCATCTCATTTGTGGGAGATAGAGTACTTTTTTTAGTTCAGCAGTGATACTATCATAGATATTTCATCATCCATCTGTTTGTCACTAGGTTTTTTCCCCATCTCCCATGCCACGTATATCTGTAATTCAGTAATAATTAATTATAATTAATTAAAAAGTAATTAATACTTTTGTAAATTAATTTCTTTATTTTTCAAAATGGATATCTTTAGAAAAAGAAAATAGAGTAATTCAGTCTTGAAATCACTTGTATACTACAAGATAAGAAACTAAGAAGAAAAAACTAGTAATATGCAAATAGATGATGAAATTTGTATGATAGTATCATTGTTGTACCTTATGGATATAGTTTCTCAGTTTGAAAGCTGAGGATCACAGCTTCATAAGATATCCCAGTTAATTGGCCTAGTATCATGTTTAATATAGCCATTCTACTTCTTGGTTCATTCCATAGTACCTGTGTTCATAAAAGCTTGCTATCTGAGATCAGCAGTTCGTTTCTATTGACCTGAAATGAATAAGGGTTCCAGTTTCTCCACAACTTCGCCAGCATTTGACGTTTGCTGTTCTGTTAAATTTTGCTATTCTTGCTGCGATGAGATGATATCTCATAGTTGTTTTGATTTGCATCTCTCTTAGAGCTAGGGATTTTGGACATTTGAAAGTGTGGAAATTGAACAATATCACTAATATCACACAGAGGCAAGATACTGATGATGATATCCAAAAACAACTCAAAAAGTAAATCAGCAGAGAACTGCCAGAAGTGCAAGTTGGGTTTAAAAGAGGCATTAGGAGCATTATAGCCAATGTCAGATGGATGCTGGCTGAAAGCAGAGCATACCAGAGGAATGTCTGCCTTTTAATTTAGTATGTAAAAGCATTTGACTGCATGGATCACAACAAATTGTGGCTAACCTTGAGAAGAATAGGAATTCCCAGAACACTTTTGCTCTGGGATTTTTGTGCTCATGTGAAACGTATACATGGACTACAAAGTCGTCATCAGAAGAGAACAAGGAAATGCTACATGACAATTGGTAGACAGATTGACTTTGAGTTCTCAATTCTAGTCTTATTTGCTGTGTAGTACCAATATGTCACTATTTTGATGA